TTTTAGCATATATATCTATACCAATATATAATGCCAGCAACCCATTTGGGGTGATAGGCTTCACCAAAAACAAGGGGACAAAAATGCCCCCCAAACAAAAAAGTTCAAAAGCAGCCCAAAATTATGCAAGGGTAATTTTTTCTAGCATGGTTTAATATTATTCATTTAGTCCAAATATTTGACTTTCTTTTTCTTGGTTGAATTTATAAGAGCTATCAGCAATGACCTATTATGTAAAGTTGCAATTGTTGTATCAAATCATCATACAATCAGTTGTTTATTAAATATTATTTTTTATATTTTTAAACACATTTAAACCATCTTAAGAGTCGCGTAATCTTTCGCACACGCATTGTATCGAATCATCATACAATCAGTTTTTTATTTTTTTATAATTAGTAATTCTATTACGTGGAATATTCACAGGTTTCTTCTAGCATAGTCTAATATTATTCATTTAGTCCAAATATTTGATTTTCTTTTTCTTGGTTGAATTTATAAGAGCTATGACTTATTATGTAAAATTTCTATGTTTTAGAAACTTAGTAAACATCGAGAAATATTTCATCAAACTACAGAACTTCAAATGCGATGTGAATGATCCGAACCATTCATCTGTTCCAATCCACTAAAAGATGATACTTCCAAAAAAAAACATTGACCGATAAACCCTAAAGTTGATGACCAAAGAAGGTGTAAACATAAATGATAATCTGGAGGCTATTATTGGTCGTAACAAATTCTGCATTATCGGTACGTGGATTGGACTTCCGTCCTTCACAAAAGTTGTAGCCCTTGTCCATACGAGCATTGCTATTATTTTTCCCCATTTTTTACAAATTTATGGCCAATCTAGTGAAAACACTATTCACCACCATTTTGATCGTTCCAAAATTCCACAATGCCATATAACCGTGTCCATCACGTTGAGGATGAGATCCCGAGCGTCTCTATAATTTTTGGGGATTTTAAACATTTTTTATGTTTATTATCATTTTTTTCATAAAAATTCAATACTCCTAGCATATTTCCACGCGACATTATATGATCATGCCACGTGGATACTTCATGCGCCATCAACTGACAGGAAATGGAGTTTTTTGCAGGGGAAATGTTTATGACGAGAATAAATCTCGACCACCCATGTGGTAAATCTGGTGATGGAGGGGAGCTTTGATTGTAACCTTTGTTGTTGGCTTAAACATCCAATCATACTCTACCATGTGTCCAAAATAGGTGGTTTATTCGTCAGGGTTTAATTTCTAGGCTTTAGTGTTACAAAATGTCATAAAACATCATCCCATGCATAATAAAGTTACGATTTTGATTTAACACCCACATTGGCAGATAAAGGGGTAGGAATAACTGTAGGGACATCTCCTCTTGCCATGCAAAGTATTGGTGAGGAGGTTATGCTCTCTATGTGCCACATTTGGGCAGCCACTATCAAATATAGAGGCTTTTCATTTCCCCTATGCACTTTGGGGGCGCGATGTTTGCATGCACAGATGACTTCACTATGCATAGATAACTGCTATATTGGTCATCGTTATTTGGTTGTTGGTTATGTTATGCACGACACCTTAATCCTCTATTTAAGGGTGGTGGTGTTAAGTTTGCTTGCCATAATCCCCTTGATATCTTATCATTCAAACCCCCAACCTGAAAACTGCCTCTTAGTCTTTAACTTTTCCGATGGCTGTTAACTTACAAGTTCATGGAACTTCCTTCCGCCATAGGAGATCAATCTCCTTGCCCAATCTTCCTTCATGGGCAAACCCATTCTCGGTCCCTAACTATGGTCAACCCCCAATTGTCGTGGAAAAAGAAAAATGTAAGTTCATATAGGAGAAGGGTTCGCAAGGGTTAACACCAAAAAGGTCTCCACCGTGAACGTGACCCTTATGAAATCCAGGGTCTTGATGGGAAAAATGTTCAGGAAATCCCAAGACGCAAAGTTCATCCACAAGGAACTCACTCTGTGTTGGAAAGAATGTGTTAAAAAAACCTTCTTTATGGACCACTTCGGCAATAAGTGGTTTATGGTGCAATTCATTGACGAGGATAAAATTGATTACGTCTTTGAAAACCGTCCTTGGTATGTGAAGGGGCAGATTTTCCACTTGGAAATGGGGATGGAATAGTTCAGGGAATCAGACCAAATAACATACTTAAAGGTGTGGTTTAAAATCCCTCGAATACCAATGCAGTTTAGGACTGAGAAATCATGACGACCATCACTTAACCGATTGGGCACCTTATAAGGATGGATGATGGGTCTATTAATTCCCCTAATGCAATGGCCATCAGGGTTTTAATAAAAATCGATGTTCGTCTGCGACTCAAGTGGGTGCTAGTCCTGAATGGGGATGATGAGTTGCCAACTTTTCTCAATTATGAAAACCTGTTTAAGGTATGCTTCTATTGTGGGAAAAAGGGCAGATGAGAAATGTGGATGTGATATGGAAGACCTGGAAGTTGGTTCCTTGTGAATAAGATGTTCGAGGATGAACCGAACGTGTTGCTACCGGGTGTTAAGGATGATTGTATGACATTGGCAGACTTAGAAGACGATCTCATCCTTTGCCTCCCGCAACCAGCAAGTAGCAAGGAAGATGGTCCAGGGGATGAGTTAAGAAAGGTCCAAAAAGGGACAACATGGAAAGGATCAATGCATCGACTGCGGTTCACCCAACAAAAAGAAAAAAAGATGCGATGGCTAAAGGTGCAGGGAGTAAAAAGATGGTCGATGACAACAACTAATGCCAGAGTTTAACAGTGTACAAGTGCAACTGATTTAATTTAATGTTTTAATTTGTGTTGTCATACTTTATGGTTTAATTCAATGTTTAGGACATTTTAATTTATGTTTCATGTCTTAGCTAGTACCTATATTTTGCAATTCCTAAGTTATTTAATCCTCGTTCAAGTTATCTCAAATTTCGTTTCAATGTAGGGAACTTAACAATCCAAGCTCGAACTCAGTAGCCTTATTATATTTAATTCTTTCAACGCTATATGTCTTTATTTCGTCACTTCAATAATTGGAAATGTCACTTACGCATTAATCTTTCATGCTTGTTACATAAATTCATTCATTATACAAGTACCAATCTGGAAAGATATTAAGAAATAATGGTAGGTATCATAAACTGTTACAAACGTTCATTCATCATAATAACAAATTCAAAAATTCTCACAAAAGTTCATCCAACATATAAAGTTGTGAAGGGTGCCACTTAAGTCATCCAAAACAAATAATAGCTCATCACACAGTTGTCCAACACATTAAATTCATCCCACAAAATTACAAACTCATGAGCTAATGAAAAAGATCTCCAAATGAATATATGAACAATAAAGCAGTTGTTTCTGCACTAACATTGTTCATCACATTGCCTTCCTACACTAACACACTACACTAAAATTCTTAATTTTAACTCACTCTACAAGTTGTGAACCCCGTGCAACATGTCAATTGCCATCCTCAGTCGAAATGTAGAGATGTTGGACGACATAATTACATCTAAAGGAAAGCCAGTGAATAACAATTCAATCACTTTTAAGGTGAAAACATCGAAATCCCCCATGTGCAATACAACAAGTCATCAAGTTTCAGAAAGAATAAATAATTTAACTAAACTGAGTAACAAATAATTGAAATTTCAGCTCACCCATTATCTTGTTGTGGGGACCTTGGACTTATGTCGATCGGCCAAGATCCCCTCTTGACATCCCTTGACAAGCTAAGGAGGAGATCCAACAGGACGTGAGCGATGTGAGCTAATTTTGCAGTCGCTTGCCACGTGTGGGTGGCCGATTCACGTAACCCCTTTCTGCCCTTTACTTTTCACTTCAGCATTCCTTTCATCATAGCTTCCTTGACAGTAAGACTATCCATAAGTGTAAAATATATGGAAAAAAAACATGTATAACAGTTCATCGAAACGAAAACACACTCAACATCACAATTGCCAAATTTTCAATATTAGGAGAAATTAAGTGGGATACATTACCAAAAACCAATCCGTTGTGTTGGTAATCACCATTTTACGAATCCTCCATGCCTCATCCTCATGCTTTTTCGGGAGATAAAACTGCAAGTGAATGTGCTGCAATATAAAAAATATAATTCAACTATCACACCAACCCAATGACAACACATTTATATTAGTCTATCACATATAGGGTTTACTCACTTACATATGTTGACAGCTAACCTTCGTGGTCCAGAAGCCGCCTCCATAAATCGGTGTCTCCAACAATCATGAACTCCACTTGGGCAACCATGTCACATCCTGGCCCGGGCCGGGATGTGATAGTTTGGTATCAGAGCCAATCCCTGACCAGATGTGTGCCAACGAGGACGTCGGGCCCCTAAGGAGGATGGATTGTAACATCCCACATCGCCCAGGGGAGTGGATCTTGTAAACCTTATATGTATATTCCCATCTCTACCTAGCACGAGGCCTTTTGAAAGCTCACTGGCTTCTGGTTCCATCGAAACTCCGAAGTTAAGCGAGTTCAAGCGAGAGCATTCCCAGGATGTGACAAACTAGACTAACAATGTAAACAAAAAATTGTTAACCTTATTGTTGTACTCATTTCATCAATTATTTTAAAGCATACATAAAATCGTAATGTTAATGAGTTACTTACTTCCCTTTGCTTCCATAACTTTAATTAACGCTTCTCTTTGCACAATACCCTCATCCCCTCTCAATCCCCTTTTGATCCCTCGCCTTCCCCCTTTTGCCTTCATCCCTTTATTCCTCATCCTAATCCCCCTCCTCACCCACTGATTCTTCCTCCCCCACCTCAAAGCCACTTTTTACATCACCCCCATTTTCACCACCATCATCTTTTTTTTCTTTTGGTTTTTCTTCTTCTTCCACAACAGTTTGTACATTGCCACCAATTTGACTACCCTGCTCTTCTTCTTTTTTTTCTTCTCCTTTTTACCTCCTTCCTCTTCTTTTGCCTAATCGTCCTTTGACTTTTCATTTTTTTTCTTCTTCTCCCTCTTCTTCATCTTCTCCATCCTCTTCAACTTTTTCTCCCACATCTTTTTTCCCTTCATCTTCTTCCTTGGTATTCTCCTCCACAGGTTTTTCCATCACTACCCTCCTTAATTCCTCCACCACGTTCGACAACTCTTCCACTTTTTTCACCAAATTCTTGTTTGATATCTCTTTCTCGTGGGCCAACCACTCAAATAACACCTTTAACTCCTTCAACTGCATTTTCAACTCACAGACATCATTTGTGTCGGGAGTCAGGTTCTCACCAATCACAACATCCACATCGTCCCCCGACGCCTAGTATGCTTTCTTCCTTACCGCTTCAGTCAAAACAATTTCTTTAATCACTACAGCCTGCCATGTAAAGGCACATATCATAACATTTCTCACACATACAATATTCACACACATGCACTTTCAGTCATAAAATTCAAAAGTGTTGCAATACATTTATACCTATCGGCTCCCAGTTATATACAATTGCAACTACTCGTGGATCGGCTGCTTCTTTGTTGTCTTCCACCTTAAAATTCTCGGTGTAGCTGTCAAATCTACCATCTTGCAGTAACATAGGGGCTTTTCAAGTTTGGGAATATTTTTTTGCCCAAACCTGCACGTATTCGTCAATAATTGAAACTCACTCACATTAATAAAGCCAATATTACCAATGAAAGCAACACATATTACCTAAAAAGCATACAAAATCCTTTGCAACCCCATCCAGACCGTTGCACCTTCTTTGTTCCCCTAACTTCTTCTTCTTCCTCCTCTTCATCTCCCTCACCATCCCCCTCAACTCTACCTTTACCTCTCCTTAAAGCAGCAAACAAGAGGCTATCGTGAAGTTGTTCGAAGAAGATGGAACCTCATGCAAAGTTGTTAAACCTATCCATCTCATCCATGAGGTCGAGGTAGTCTAGATTCACAGCAACGTTGTTCTTTGCCCTTATCAATACAGCCTCGACAAATTATACCATCCTTAGCTTAAGGCATCATCCCCTTTCTTGCACTCTTTAAAAGCCCTTTCAAGCTCAGCACAAGTCACGAATATTTTTTTGCTAACTTTCTTGAGGACGGCCTTCACTTTACCTTTCCTCTTTTATTTCCTCCCCTTACTACTTTCGCCAATCAACCCTACTTTTTGAGGAAAATACTCCCTCAACAGCCTAATCCTTTGTGGCTCTACCTCTATGTCATGGGGTTGGTCACTTCGTAGTCTGGTAATGAGACAAAAGTCATGCTTTGTGAACCGGGTCAATTCACAACCTATTAAATGGGTCAGCCCCTTTTGGGTCTTTAACTCCTTGATTTCCCACTCTGCGGAGTGACAACTCATGCATCAATTGCCCACTGAAGGTCAACTCATCCATACCCTGAAGGTAGTTAAAGCAGGTTACCTCAAAGGCACGAAGCTCTGCCTCATTAAATTTCTCCCTAATCAATCCTAACACATGGGGGGCTTGGGATAGGTTGTTAACCCTTCCCCTATACACTTCTTCTTCTCTTGTTGCTAGTTGAACACTCTGGGCTACCATATCATATGCACATAACAATACATACGCATCAACAATGAATGGTACATAACCTAACGACAACTTGTCACCAAAGCTTCATAGCTCTACATCTACTGTTGACAGAGCATCATTACTTAAGCAATTTCAATTCCCACCATAAAATTAACAATAATTTAGATACAAAAATCAATCCCCACCACCATAAAATTAACAAATTCAAAATTCAATCAATCCCTACTGAAAACTACAACTTTACCAAAACAACAGATAACACCCTTGTATCTACACAATCCATCAACATAGCTTCATAAGTTCACAACACGCTCTAATTTGCAAAAAAAAAAAAAAGAAAAAAAAAAGAAAAGCATTTGACATAGTTCAACAAATTCCACCTAATTACATCCATGAACATGCATAATTAACCTCACACCAAACTTAATTTATAATGCTTAACAGAAATAGCTAAATGAAATTCTAGCGTTCCATTTTCAAAACTCACCAAATTTGAAATTCATTGGGGGAATAAAATATAACCACACTTATTACGGAAGCAGTCTGACCCTATCTCGAATGAAGCGAAAAACACGTCCTTTCTTTGGAACCCACTGCACAGCCTCCAACCGAAGTCCCCTAATTTTCTTCACTGTTGTCTAGGAATTATGTGAGGCCGAACAACACAACCACAAACCAACTATTACTGGGTTTGGAACAAGAAGCAAGTTTTTGAACGGGAAGGATATTTTCGACGGCAACGATGTTTGAGCAAACACGGGAAAGGGAGTATTTTTGTAGGAGGACAAGACTTACTTAAGGCGGAAAGTGTTGATGTCGTGGGTATAGTTTAAATCCCAAGAAATTTTGAATTCATCCTGAGTATCATTTTAATTGATTGATGGATCATTTAGGACCCGGTTTCATCCTAAAGCTCATTCCAATGGAAATCGTTTTCACCCGTTCAATTTTCATCAAACCAACTACATTCTGTCAGCACGCGCGGTTTGCAAAGTTCTGTCCATAGCTTAGAAAATACTAAAATCGAACCAAATCATAATTTTAGTTTTGAAAAAAAAAAAAACCTGAACCGAATGAAACCGAACCCACCCGTAGTCATTTTGGCTAGAAATTTATATATATGAGTTTTATGTCTCCAGTGCATTAACAATGGCCTAACAATATCAGTATAGTTACTCGAAAGGATCGAACATGCAATCATGTGGTAGAAAGTTAGTAGAGGAAGTTACTGCAAAATGATAGTGTTTGGGTTGAAACTTAAACTTTGGGCTTAGAAGGGAGTTGGCCCAAAAAGAGAAGGAAAAGCCCGAAGCTCAGCCCAGACCTAGAAAGCAGAAAGGGCCTTTCCCGACTAGGTGCAACTCATTTGCACCACTTGCTCACCTACCCAAGGGCCAAGTGGTATAGACCAGCCAGCTAATCAGCCCAAAAGTACTTTATGATGGCAGTACAAGTAAATAGCTGATGAGTCACTATCCTTCAAACTACATTCAGGCAAGATTATTGCTACAGGAGGCCAAGCCAAGGTGGCTATAAAAGGAGAAAGAGAAGTCAAAATCAAGGACACTCAAACAAATAAACAAAAGCATAAACTCTGCTCAAAGCCATATTTGCCTTCAAAACGAAGCTGTAGTCAGCCCAAGCCTTCATCCCTTTCGGGACAAACCCTTTGTAATAGCTCTGCTACCCTGTTCAACGCCTGTTGTAGTATCGATTTTCTTTCTGCAAACTCATCTCCCAACCCCTTTTCTACGCTTTCAAACCTTCTGTTAACCCACAAAGATAGGAAGTTGCAAGAAGATCAGCCTTGCCCGACCTTCTTTGTTTTTGTCTTTTCATTCATTAGCCTAGCAATATGTTGTATACTTCAAGTTGTATCCAAGTTATTTCTAGTAATATGGCTATTAAAAGACTCTCTCAGCGCTTGAATCCGATTTGAATATGTCTTCACAGTTCAAACCAGATCTAAGCTCTAAGCCCTCGGGCATATAAGATTTGATCTCCCTAAAAAGTCCTTGGCCTCAAGGCATAAAAAAAAACCTGATGTGGACTTAACCCATCCACGACAAGCTTTGATAAACAAGAAGTCCGAAGTTACTTGGGGCACAAGTAATCAACCTACCACTTAGTTTTATTTCTATTATATTATGATGACCATATAACGTTTGAGTACGGGATGAATTCTGATGGGAAGCCTCAAGGCCTATTCAAGGCCCCACAAAGGCACCTATTTGGATTCATCCTATTTCTCGGGCAAGAACATTGAGTACAGAAGGGGTTATGATGGGAAGCCTCAAGGCCTATTCAAGGCCTCACAAAGGCACCTATTTGGATTCATTCTGCTCTTTGAGCTCAGGTAATCAGAAGTATGATGGTTATAAGACCCATATAACCAATAAAAGGAACCTTATGTGTTTGAGTACTAAGTTAGTTATTTATGGGAAGCCTCAAGGCCTATACCTAAGGCCCCACAAAGGCACCTGTCAATAACTAACATAGTCTCTCGAATATATATAATTAAAACTCAAACATCCGTTTTACATCTGCCATGCTGAAGATGGTAGTGGCACGCTTGAGCAATTCAAAGTTAATCTTGATCGTGAGCCTCAAGGCCTACACCTAAGGCCTCACAAAGGCACCTTTCAAAGTTAACTATGTCCTTCTCTTTCAGCCTTACCCGACAAGCCTTGCCCGACAGGCTTTGCCCGACAAGCCCGCCAGTAAAGCAGAAGCCCGACAGAAAGCATCAACCGACGCTAACCTCTCGGGGAGCTATGTGCTCGTTGGCCAGAAAGCATTCCCCACGGAAATTCCCGCCACGAACATAGTTTTGGCACGCTCGGTGGGACCGCATTTGTGTGGATCTTGTATGTCCAAATAAAGAAAAAAGGCCATAAGATTTGCAAAAAGAGTACGAAGAACGGTTCTTCTCGACATTTGCTACCAATGACAGAGCAATCAGGAAATCCTTCTTCCCCATCAGGACAGGTGGTCCTAGAAAGCCCATCTTCATCCGGGAAGTTGGAAGGAAAAGGAACGAATGAGGAATTACAGGCTACTATGATACAAGTACTGAGAAGTATGCAAAAAAATCTCTTTGGAGACCAATGGGGAAGTCAGTAGACTGTGTACATTAACAGGAAATTTACAGAGAATGCTGGATCTGGAGTTTTCCACTCCAAAAGGCGCTCAAGGGAGTGGGATGAACCAGGTTACCATCAGAAGTGAGCCAGTCATTCCCCTATTTCCACTATTAGAAGAAGAAGCGGATAGGGGAAAGAAGAAAGCAGTTCCTGAAGGAAGTCAACCTATGATAGAGCCGGTCCTAGGGAAAGAGTTTCCTAGCTTCCCGTTGTTAACATTTAATAACAGGAAGCAAAGCGAGCAGGAAAGGACAAAGTATGAAATGCCCATAACAACGGGAGAGTCCAACCAAAAAGAAAGCTCCGCGACCCCAGACAAACCTCTTCCTTATAGGCCACCCCCATTGGCTCATAAGGGAGGGGGAACCAACTGGAGGAAGCCTGAATCAAAGAAAGAAGCATTCATAGGCAATGATCGAAGCCCGAAGGACGAATCCGCCCTTCTCTTCCAGAATAATACAGCTACTCAACAACTAAGGGATGAGTTGGCCGAATTGAGGAGGGCAGTGGTTCAAAATGCTCAACCACGAGCTCGCCCAGTATTCAGGATTACTTATCAAAAGCCTTATCTTGAATACATTGATGAACAAAATCCATTTCCTCTCAACTTCAAGATGCCCGCATTCCCAACATTCACGGGTGAAGACAGCAGTGTGTCCTCCAGAGATCACATTTTCAAGTTCTCTAATCATTGTGTGGCATATGAGGACAACCCGAACTACCAGTTAAGGTTGTTTGGAAATTCGTTGGCAAGACTTGCATCCTAGTGGTATTCTCTATTACCCCCTAACTCTATTGCCAACTGAGGGCAAATGGAGATGGCTTTCCATGAACAATTTTACAGAATAGAACCAGAAATGACTATTAATGATCTGGTTGAAGTCAAACCATACGAGCATGAG